ATACATAAAACTGAAAATAATTAAAACAGTAACATTGATATATATATATATATACTGTGTAATGTAATAGTTAAGCCAAAAAAAAAAATTTGTTCACAAATAACTTTTATGCAAAGAGGGCCGATTTGGCACTCACCTGTCCGTTCTTGCACAGGTCAGCCCACATGCTGGTTCCATCACCTCCTCTCATCAAGACATGGTAGATGAAGAAATACGTGCCCGGCACGCTGCAGATGAACTTGCCCAAAGTGCCATCATAGTTCTTGCCGAGGTTGGTGACCACATCGTCGAACTTGAGGATCTCATAGCCCTCGTGCGGGTTCTTCAGTCCTGCGTAGAAAGCCACCCATGGGTGCGTGTTGTATGTAACTGTGCTGATAGCTCCATCATTGCCCATATTCAGAACCCCGCTTCGGCCCCTGTCGCCCCGGTCCCCCGGGGGCCCCACCGGACCCGGGAGCCCTGGCTCCCCTGGTGACCCCGGAGGTCCGGGTTTGCCTGGCCGTCCCGGCTTTCCCTGTGGCCCCTGGAGGAGCGTGGAGGGTGGAGGTATGTTGCTGTGGTCGGCCAGAGCCTCGGCCTCGGCCTGCACAGAAGAGCCGGTGCTGGCGATGCCTGTGCTGGTGCCCTTGTTCTGGTACGGGTCGCACACCATTCGACAGGTGCCCAGCATCTCGTAGTGGCTGTTGTCATTGCTCACGGAGCTGACCAGAACGGGGATGAGCACCACCAGCACCAGCACCAGCATGACCCCTACGGCGGCCGCCACCAGGGTCTTCCTGCCCAGGCTGAGGCGCGGGAGTGGCTGGGCAGCCAGTGTGGGTCTGCCGGGAGCCGAAATGGTGACTGCTGGAGAAGAGGAGACCGCAGAGAGAGAGACAGACAGAAGGGTGCAGGGGGGGTCCTGGGGGAAAGACGCCAAGCCCTAGGATCCCAAGCGTGTGGAGGAGCGTGTGAGGGTGAAAGAGACCCACATGCACACACTCTAACACGCTTGCCCAGCTCCGTGCATGCCTGGATTGCTAAGCTGGCTCACTGGATCCGGTGGGCTGGCAGGAAAGCGCTTTCACACAGATCCCACATCTGCTTGATCTCACTCACACGCATACACACTTTCACACACACACGCCCGCATGCATGCGAATGCGCTCACACGCTCTCCCAAAAAGTCGATCCCATTGTCTGGTGGACAGAGTTGCACTCAGTAATGAAGAGAATGAGGGATGGCAGAGGCAGCAAAGAGGAAGAGAGGATGAAGTGAGCAAGTGTGTGCATGGGAGTGAAGGACAGCGCGAGAGAGAGAGAAGCAGATATAGAGGAGAGACAGGGTATGTTTGCAGAGGCGTTTTCTCAGTCTGTCCTCTCTTCTTCTCTTCTCTCCCTCTCTGTGTCACAACGATACAGCCAGGGGAAAGGAAGAAAAGTAACCAAAAGGAAAGGAGGGGACGACATAGGGAAATATAAAAGGGTACAATGAATACAGCAGGAAAGATAAAATCTAATCACAAAAATAGCTCACAGTAAACATTAAGATTTGAAGTCTGACACAGACTATATTAAAAAGTATCCTTTCAAAGGGACTCATATCATGAAAAATAATTTTTTTAATATACTAATATATTCTTAAAATAAAGTTTCTTTGTTGGCATCTATAACCTCAATCAATGGAACCTTTCGATTGTGCAAATGGTTCTTTATAGTGCAAAAAGGTTAATAAGTAAAACGCTCCTTACACAAGAAAAAATGGTTATTTTAAGAACTGTTCACTGAAAAGTTCTACAGAGAACCCAAAGTGGTTCATATAATGTATTGCTTGCAAGGTAAAAACAACATTTTTGAAACTTTTATTTTTAAGAGTGTATATATTTATATTTAGATATAGAAACATTGAAAACATTGTTATTTTCAGAACTGAAAACCCCCCCCCCCCCATCTGACCACTTAGCTGCAGGAATAGCTCTGTCTATACTGCTACATCTTTCTGATTTCAGACAAATACATTTCAATAAACAAACCATTTAAACATTAGCGACATCTATCCAGTATTCAGAAAAGTTCACCCAGTTATGGTAATGTACTGTAAAGTGGTACTTAAATTTGGAAACAGAGTAAAAAAATTCCTCTCACAGGAAAATGTAACTATTTTACGAGGTGGTGATGTCAAGGTGATGATGTGAATCGCACAAAAACATATGATTTTTAGAACAAATGTAAGCATGAAGGTCCACCCATAAACAACTTCCACTGGGGAGTAAGCAGATCATATGAAAATGTACAAATGAGATTGTACAAATTCATATGGATTAGCCACCAAATATCCAAAATGAAACACAGTTACAAATTGCCATGAGATTGTGCTGGAAAAGGCTGTAAAATCTTGTGCTGTTCCTGGCTGTGTAGCACCTGCTGCTCCTCAAATCCTTACGATGATCCCAATTCTAGAAACTAGCGGTTTATGCAGAACATTTCAGCATGGAACCCGTCACATTTATTTTTGGCACAAAAAAAAAGGAAATAATATGATGATGATGATAATAATGATATTATTATTATTATTATTATTGTTGTTGTTGTTATTAAATTATAAGACCCCTTTATTAGAATTCAACTGTAAAAGATACAGAATTCTGGCATGAAACTCTAGATGGCGCGGTCCGATACGTCTAACTCAATCTGACCTAATGACATCATCACATGGCACAGCTGATTGGTTCTCTCCTGTATCGGTAGCCAATGAGCTCGCTGCTCAACATTCAAATATATGACTAGTGCTTGCTGTAGCAGTTGCAGCTTGCTTCAGAACAGTGAAATCAACATCTAAGATAAGTGAATGCTCTTCTAATCCATATCGCTGTGTGTATTGCGTGTTCTGTCTAATTGAATTAAAAAATGAGCAACCATAATCAAGTTTAAAGTTAGCAGTTTGCATAGTATGCAGGAGCGAATATTAAGTGTATTAGCAGCAGCATTTAGCATCTGCGTTTGTACAGCTGGAGCAAAACGCAGTTTAGAGTATATGTAATCGCTCTGAGGACACGCCGATAGTAATGGACATGAAACAGGTTAAATGAAATAAGCATTCTTGTGTATACATTTCAACGGGGGTTCGCCATATATATCGAAGATTATCCCAGTGTTCACGTTCATTATTTCTAAGGTCGATGTTTTCATTGTGATTAGTGTGTGGTTGATTTCAGCTGCACGCAGCGTCAGAAGCACGTGCTTATCGCAGTCATATCAATGACAGTGTTGCAGGAGACGCTGAAGATCACTATCTACGGCTGTAACAGTTAGTTCCGAGTGAAATGCATTATGGGTAGAGAAATGTGCTCGTGCAAAGTGTACTCTCGCTGTGCTGTGTAATTCAGAAAACGGAGAAAGAACATTTGTATTCTGCTTTTATTTCAGTTCAGGTCAGTCCACCCAAGGGTTTTTGTGCACTGTAACTTTGACAACTTTATCTGCACGAGAGCGTAAAATGGCTTGCATCGGCTAACTTTGTCCGCCTCATCATTGCAGGAACATGAATTAACAAGCTGTTACGCTGCCGCTGGGACTGATGA